TGTCCGTGTTAATGTAAATTTTTCTTTTATTATTGACTATTTCAATTTCTTTAGTTTTACTGTCAGTCAGAATAATTTGTGTTGCAAACCGATTCACTGCTGTTTCCAATATAGGAAAATGGTCATTAAGTTTTTCTTGTTAAAAGTGAATAGTTGCACATGTACTCATGTTGTCTTCGTTTTCTTCCGTCATGTAAATTTCTCCTTTTTGGTTATTACTTCTGCTGAGAAAATCTGCAACTTTATTTTCTTTGCCCTTTATGTAATTTATATTTATATTATATTCGCCTAGTTCTAGTAACCAGCGCTGCAGCCTAGGGTTAATATCTTTTCCCTTGTGTTTGTGATATAACCAGACTAATGGTTGATGGTCGGTTGAAAGGTCAAACTCCTTTCCATAAAGGTATGGTCTGTAATAGGCTACTCCCCAAACTATTGCGAGTAGTTCTTTTTCTACTGTTTTATCTTTTTTCATGGTCGTTTAGTGTTCTGCTTGCATAGCTAATAGGCCGTTCATTTTGCATAAGCACAGCTCCTATCGCGAAGTCAGTTGCATCTGTTACTATTTTAAACCTCTTTGAAATATCTGGGTAGCTCAGAATTGGAGGATTTGTGAGAAATCTTTTTAGTTTCAAAAATGAATCTATATAAAGTGGGTCGTTCTTGTTAACTTTTGCACTTTTCTTCAGATATTTTGTCAGTCCGTGGGCTACTTTTGCGTAGTCTTTTATGAACTTTCTATAGTAGCCAGTTATACCTAGAAACTGCTTAATTTGTTTCTGTGTTTCTGGAAGTTTTAGGTGTTTTCTTTGGGTTGGGTTTAATACCTTCTGGCGAGAGGATATGACCCAAATATTCGGTCTCCTTTGAAAAAAAATTACATTTGTCTATTTGGATTTTGAGGTTGTGTTCTCTCAGTTTATTTATCACTTTATTCACACTAATAACGTGTTCCTTTTAGCTTGTGCTGAAGATCAGTATGCCATCGAGATAGACAACGCATATCTTGTTTATGTATTCTCTTAAAACTGAATTTATTAGCCTTTGAAATGTGGCAGGTGAGTTTTTCAATCCGAATGGCATTCGAATGAACTCGTAATGACCTAGGGGTGTGGAGAATGCTGTTTTTTTTTCTATCTCCTTCCTTGACTAGCACTTGGTGGAAACCTTTAGCCAAGTCAAGGGTTGTGAAGTATTGGGCTTTGCCCAGTTTATCTAAAATATTTTCTATGTTTGGAATTGGAAATTTATCACTTATTGTGACTTCATTTAGTTTCCTATAGTCAATTACGACCCTCCATTTTCTCTTACCTGAGTTGTCCATTTTTTTTGGAACAATCCACAATGGTGAGTTATATGGGGACATACTTTCTACTATTATTTTTTTGTTTTAGCATGTCGTCAACTTGTTTATTAATTTCTTCTTCGTGAACCGTTGGGTACCTGTATATTTTAGAATATACAGCATTGTTAGTTGTTATGGCTTAAAGATTCGCCTTCTTTAAAGAAAAGATCACTGTTATTATCTATAAGTTTTTCTAGCTCTCTCTGTTCTTCTTTGTTCATGTCAGTCTTTATAAGTTTGTTTAGTACTTCTGGGTCATTTCCTTGGCTTTCCAACAAGTGGATGTGTTCGTACTTGTAAGGACAAGCGCCTAGAAAGCTTATTTTATTTTTATTTACTTCGAGGTAATTTTCTTCTAAATTAATTATTGCTCCCAATCTTCTTAAAATGTTTTGACCTATCATTATTATTATTATTATTATTATTATAACATCTCATAGGTACAGTAAGACGCAGGGTCTTTTCGTTGTACGCAAATTAATATATAAATTTCAAAACTTTTAACTTAATCTTACAAGTACTAAAATAAGTATAAAATACAAAAATTATAGGGTAAGAAAGTAAAATAACAAATTAGTTGATGGGGTAATAGGATAGTAAACATAGATAAACATAGATGAGGGGAATAGAGGGAGGATATTACACATATAGGTTTGTAACTGCCATTTTGAAGCAACCAATCGATGTTATGCATTTAATTGAAATTGGTAGTGAGTTCCAAATTCTTATAGCACTAACAAAAAACAATCTAGACGCCGTTAAAGTTTTGTACTTTGGGACAACAATATTGTGTGTACGAGATGATTTCACAAAAACTAATTTCCGGAAAAGATAACCAGGTTGACGGTTTCTAATTAATTTGAATATATACACCAAATTGCGGACTTTGAGGTAATTATCAAGGGTGAGCCCAAGAATATTTTTAGTATACAATGATATGTGGTCAAACTTCCTTTTAGAATAGATGAACCTAGCCACGTTATTTAAAACTAGATTTAATTTATTCTTAGAATCGTAGCTTAGATTGCCATAGACCAGTTCAAAATAGGAAATATGGGGAACGATGAGGGACTTAACTAGTTTGAGTTTTGTGTTAATCGGCAGACAATAGCATATATGCCATAGATTTCTTAATATAAAATATATTTTTGATATACTATAACGTATGTGAGCCGTGCAAGTTAAGCGGGAATTCATTTTAATACCAAGATTAGTTACAGCATATTCAAATTTTAGTTCCATCTCGTTCAAAATAATTGGTGATATGCTACTGAGATCAAAAGGAACGCACGAAATCGGAAGTACCTGCGTTTTGGTGGCATTTAAAGAGAGGCCATTCATGGTGGCCCAGACTTCAATTCTTTTCAGGTCCTCATTTAATCTGGCCACCAAGTCTTCGGCAAGACCTAGGTACATCTGCGTATCATCAGCATATAGGTGAATGGAAGAGTTTTGGCAGCATTGAACAATGTCATTTATAAAAATACTGAAAAGTATGGGGCCCAAAATGGAGCCTTGAGGTACCCCACAGGTAATTTCTCGGCGATGTTAGAAGATATCTCCACACTGGACTTGCTGTGACCTGTTCGAGAGGTAGTCTTTTATAAGCTTAAGTGCACTGGGGTTGAACCCGAAATAATTTTTCAATTTCAAAAGAAGAATATCATGGTTTACCATGTCAAAAGCTTTGGAAAAATCTAAGAGTACTAAAATTGTGAGCAGCTTACTGTCGAAAGCGGGTCGGATGTCGTCCATAATCTTTAACACGGCTGTGGAACAACTATGGTTGGATCTAAACCCAGACTGGAGTTCGCTCAATAAATTAAATTTGTTCATATGTGACACTATCTGAGCGGAAATAAACTTTTCGAAAACTTTCGCCAACATTGGTAAAATACTGATGGGTCTAAAGTTTTGGGGAGAGTTACAAGAGTTGCTTTTTGGGACCGGAATCACGTTAGCAATCTTCCATTGCTTTGGAAAGGTAGAGGAAGCTAAGGCAAAGTTAAAAATGTGTGTAAGTGTAGGAAGCACGTACGGGAGGATAAGTTTTAAAAAACGCAGGCTAAGACCATCCACACCAATGGCGTTCGATTTTATTGCAAGAATGCACTTTGCAATATCGTCTTCAGTGGCTGCATCGAATACAAACTCGAAAGCAGGATTACAAACTAGTTTTTCATTAATGCTGAAAGGTGGTGCATTCGGATGTGAATTAACGCCAACGAAGTATGAGTTCATTAAATCAGCATCAATTATACAGGTTTTCACATCCTTGGCGCAGACACCCAGTGACTTCAGATTTTTCCACAACACCTTGGAAGGCATGTTGGAATTAAATTTTGCATCGAGATAGGCTTTTTTACTATTACGCAAAGCAGATGTTACTTTGTTTCGCAAGTTTTTATATGTGCTCCAGCGTTCATTGGTGGGATTACGCTTCCAGGATCTATAAGCCCTACATCGCTCTTTGATAAGGACTAAAATGGCTTTAGTGAACCAAGGCTTTTTATGATCAATTGTTTTAATACTGCGAATAGGGACATATTTATCAAATAAGTATTGTACTAGCGTTGTAAAATAGGCTAATTTGTCGTCAACATTTGCAAAGTACCAGCAGCAGTTCCAGTTAAGTGAGACACTTTCGCCATATAATGCAGATGTGTTTACATTCTTGAAATCTCTAAAGGTAAAATTTGTTAAAGGCTTCGTTTTGTGAAATTCAAAGTCAAAAAATATTATCATTAGCTCGTGGTCAGAAACTCCAGCCAGGGAAAATTGATCAACATGACTTACACTACTACCAACGCTTACACCAAAAAGATCCAACATACTTGGCTTACAGTGGGGCGCAAACCGAGTTGCATATTCGTTTGTGATAGTAATACCACAGGTGTTAAAGCTGTTCAATAGCTGATTAGATCTTTCGTTATTAGCTAACATATCAACGTTGAAGTCACCACAGATGAGAACATGAACATAGCTCAAGGACAATTCAGAGATTTTAGCAAACAATGAGGTGAGATCATTTGATTTATGGGGGTTATATACACATATAATAAGACACTTCCGTATGTTATCACAACATTCAACAAACATGCTTTCAACAGCTTCATGGGAGTGAGATTTATAAATGACTCTAAAGTTGAGATCGGCTCTGTGATAGATCGCTATGCCCCCCCCTCTGTTACCAGTAGTTCTATCATTCCTCACAATTGAATAGTCACACAGAGTATATGCGCTATTCGCAAAAGAAGGCTTAAACCAGGTCTCAGTCACACAGATTGCGTCAATATTTAGATCACGAAAAGTTAAATTAAGATACTCAAGTTTTTCAGCTGTTAAACTTCGAGCATTGAAGTGGCACACATTGAACCCTGTATGGTAGTCACACGCATATTTAAGAGCTAGTCTTAGATTATCATTGTTATTGTGCTCACTCAGGTTGTTACTCATATCTATGCAATAAAAGAGATGCTTGCAAACGGTCAGTTACAATGGGAATGGAGATCAAAAAGGGAAACATAAGGTTAAGGTAAGAAGAGGTATAAATACAGAATAACTTAAAAAAGTATAAAATTAACACTAATAATAGAAAATGCACACAAAGCATGGCAGGTATAAATATGTATATATGTAAATAAAATGTGTTGAGTTAGGAAGCAGCTGCAATGCGCTCAACGCTCTCACAATCCAGTACTTTTGTTGCTTCACTGTTAAGATGCTTTCTTACATATATTTGTCCACGTATAGAAAATGCACTCGCCAATAATTTTTGTCTCTTCAGCCGTGTTGCAATTTGAATAAGTTCACGATTCTTATTCGTAAGGCATTCATGCACATAGATCTTCTCATCACCATTGAGCCCTATATCGCGAAGTGTTAGCGACGTTCTATTTGCCTTAAAAAAGCCGGCAATCGCCTTAAATAAGAGTGAACGATCATATGATGAATTTAGCTTGACTATAATAGGAGAAGGCTTCTTGTTGCTGTTGTTTTTGCGCAAACGAAAAGTTGAACGGGCGGGCAGCGGGGTCAGGTTAATCGATGTGCAAAGTTTAGAGAACAGCGAAGTTAAATTCTCTTCAGCTATAAGCGGAACACCATAAATAATGACATCTGTCGCTACCAACGCATTCTCAAGCTCATCAACTTGTTGACATAAAGTGATGACTTCTTTGTTTTGGTCATTACTTTCGTAGCGCAATGACTCTAGCGCACTCACTCTA